CGCGACCGGGGCGGCCCCAGCCCCCGCCCGCCGCTTGTGTCCTAGCGGCGCCTGCTGCGCACGTGCTATTTGTGGCGGCCTCCTGCAGCCAGGAGGTGGCGCCCTGGGGCAGGGTCTGGGCTGCCGGCCAAGTCCCCGCCGGGAAACCTGCTCCCGCCTCTAGCGCCGCCGCTGCAAGCAGCCCGTCTGGCCGGGAGGGGAGGCTCTGCCCTCAGCCGCTGGGGGCGCCGGGGATGGGGCGCGCCAATCAGCCCACGTTAGAAGCGAAAGTGATACTGCGTAAGGCTCGGGCGCTGATCTCATCGGTTACCACGTGCAGGGGCCCGGCCAAGTCCCCGCCGGGAAACCTGCTCCCGCCTCTAGCGCCGCCGCTGCAAGCAGCCCGTCTGGCCGGGAGGGGAGGCTCTGCCCTCAGCCGCTGGGGGCGCCGGGGATGGGGCGCGCCAATCAGCCCACGTTAGAAGCGAAAGTGATACTGCGTAAGGCTCGGGCGCTGATCTCATCGGTTACCACGTGCAGGGGCTGGGATCAGGACATGGAGGGGACAAGGACAGTCCAGCGGGCTTTCTTATGGGGTGGAGTGGGTTTGGCTGCTGAGTAAGTGGCGCTCTTCTCATGCAGTGGGTTTTACCCAAGAAAGCTCAAGGTGCTGTATATTTGGTTAGTCTCTAGTGCCACAGGACTGCTTGCTGTTCCCGCTCTGAGTCAGTGCTGAATCTGTCTCTTGTGCTGTTGACATGCCAGTTTTTGTATTAGATCTAAAACTGGCCTTAATCAATTTTTGTTGCTAAAAATGCAGTAGCGCACTTTACTTCTACTTCTGCAGTAGCACACTTTACACAAATAAAAGTATAGCAGATTGCATATAATTATTCTTCTGAATAAACTAGATAAATAGCGCCTTCCTTTTCACTTGGATATGGATATTGTTCTTTTTTGTTTATCTACCCTAAATTTTTATGTCTACACAGAAACATTATTTCAAAATAACTAGCATTATTTCAAAATAACTTAGTCCGAATCTACGCAGCAGGCCGTTATTTCAAAATAATGTCGAAATACTGTTAAGCTGGAGGACTTCTTACTTCAACTCCTGTAACACTCATTGTAGGAGGAGTAAGGGAAGTCAGAGGAAGAGTGCTCTATTTCAAAATAAGTGCCGTGGAGACACTCCCAATTTCAAAATAAGCTATTTTGAAATAAACTACTAAATTGTAGTTCAGTTTGCGTAGCTTATTTCAAGTTAGGGTGTGTCTACACAGCAGCGCTAACTCAAAATAAGTTACACGATTTAAGCTGTGTAGCTTATTTTGAGATTCTATTTCGACAAGGCCCTTAATCCTCGTGAAACGAGGTTTACTGGCACGTTGGAATAGCAAGCCCATTATTTTGTTTGCATTTCATAATAACAGGCATGCTGTTAAGACATGGAAAATGCTATTTCAGGATACCAGACTTATCCTGAAATAGCACCACTGGCTAGACCAGTGCTTCTCAACCAGTGGTATGAGTACCCCTAGTAGTACTCAAGAGAAGTCAGGGGATGCGGGGGGGTTACGTCAACACCACTGAAATTTGGAAAAAACTGAATTTTTGTTTTAAGTATTACAGCACTTTACTGGGGGGTACTTATTTTTTTTAAAAGGGGTACTTTATTTAAAAAGGTTGAGAAACACTGGGCTAGACTACCCTGATAGTTCTGCTGTTCACTGTTATGCTCTCCACCCCAGTCCCAGAAGGGGCTGCTCCCCAGTTGAGTGCTTTGGGATTGTCAAGGATGAAAGTTATGTAAATATAAGATGCACCTTTGTGGAATTTTTACTTAATTTTTGCTGGGGAACTACAATATCATGGATTTGTCTTGCATAACACTTTCAGTGATATACTTGTGAATGTAAAGATTTCACTTTCAGGCAGGTTGGGAGGGGGAAGAGAAGGAAAAATGGTATTTAAAGTATTTTGGATAAAGTTTTGAAACAAGCCTCTGAAATTGCTCCTGAACATTTTTCCATTGATAAAACTCACATTTGCACATGAAAACAAATGCTTGCCAGGACAGTGTGAGTAGTTAGATGCTGAATTACTCTACTTATACATACAAAATATCTTTGTTCTTGTATATGCGATTTATACATGGACTTACTCAATGCTTGTGGGTATAAGTTTAGAGGGCCACTTGAAAATGTTAGCATTTATTTTTATTTTGTTAATTTTTTCAGTTCACAAACTTTGTATGTGCTTTTCTGCTATACCTTTAAGCTATACATATTGTCCTATCTAGGTTCTTCTAATTCTGTAGAAAAATTCCTTGTATGTAAAAGAGAAACTCATAAAACCCATTAACTCAAACTCATGAATATAAAGAGAGGAAATCATTTTATAGTTGCATAAATATCCTCAATTGTCTAAGACTAATCATGAGAAATATTAAGGACAAACATCTAGTGATGTTTTTGAAACCTCACAACACATTAAAAAAAGCATAGATCTTATGTAGATACGGCTGAAAGACTTAGGTAGATAATCTGAATGTTATTAAATATACCTGTTCAAAAGGTTGGATGGCCAGCCATTGTTGGATGGCTAGCAAAGAATATATGCTACTCCTGGGAGAATTCTGCACAAAAAAATAAAAATTCTGTGTACAATATTTTCAGACTCTAGAAAATTCTGCATATTTTATTTGTCAAAATAATCACAACAGTTTCAATTATTTTTGGTCATTTATTTCAAAATACCCGTCAAAGTAGGTCTATAATGCTGTGTCTACACTGCACGGTTATTTCAGAATAAGCTATTTCGGAATAGTTTTTCTGAAATAGCTTATTTCGAAATAGCACATCTACACTGCAGGGAAGCCTCAAAATTAGTGCAAGGCAGGCTTCCCTAATGTAGACGTGCAATCTCCATTTAGCGCCCCAGGAGGAATAACTTAGAATGGCCCTAATAAGGGGCTATTTTGAAATAGCAGTAGTGGCGTGTCTACACAGCCCCTATTCCAAAATGGTGTTATTCTTCTTAGAATGAGGCTTACAGTAGTCGGAATAAGCTTCCTGTTATTTCAGAATTATTTTAAAATAATGTTATAGCTGTGCAGTTGCTCGCATAATTATGTTGGAATAACAGCGGTTATTCTGAAATGTCTGTTCTGTTAGGGTGTGTCTACATACCAAAATTAACAAAAAAAGATTCAGGAAATGTTTTTGTCAAATAGATTTCTTACTAGGCCTATTGACACAGAACTCTGAATAATAATTCATTTAAACTACAGTCCAAAAACGTATTTCCCAGATCTCTTAGAAGCAAGGCAAAGACGCCAGGCTGGGGTGTCAAGTCTCTGCGGGTGCCTAGACGAAGGTGGGGTGTCTGTATGTGTGTGTCTGTCTCCTCTGTGTTCCTGGAAGGGGTAGGTGCAGGGGCAGCCAGCCCTTTATGCTTGCCCCCAACCCTCAGAGCTGGCTAGAGTATGCTGTACAGTGCTCCAGTAGCAATTTAAAGGGCTTGTGGCAGCAGTGACCAGGAGCCCTGGGCCCCTTTGAATGGACAAGCCCTGGGGCAGTTGCCCCCCTCCCTGTTGGCAGGCCTGCTTGGAGGAGTCAGGGTAGTGGAGGAGCAGGAAGTAAATTGCTGGGAAGGAGCCTGGGTAAACTTGGAGGGTTGTTAGGTATGGGTGGAAAAAATAGGCAAGAGGTAGCTTTGGAAGAGATCAGCAGGGCCTTTGAAATAGTTAAAAATAGCCAGGCTTACCTGACATTCACAGGCAAAAATGTCCTGAGGGGAAGCTGAGAGAGGTAAAAGGACTGTACTAGGGATCCAGAATGACATGTCTATATTCATGTATTGTAGCATCTGAAGGCCATCCAGGCAGGGGTGGGCAAAATATGGTCTATGGGCCAGATCTGGTCAGTCAAACATTTCCCTTGGGTCTGCCATGACCTTCTGGGACACTACAAGTTCCACTGTGCAGCAGGGTGCTCAGGCCGCCTACCTGTTTGTCACAGTTCAGCGTCCCAGGCTAGTGGCAGCCAGCTGCTTCTATCTCTATGTGCCTCTTCTGGAGTGGCAAGCAGGGGATCTCCACACACTGTCCCTGCCTCAGCACTAATGGCTGGAAACTGGCCAATGGTACCTGCAGGAGTGGTGCTTTCAGGCATGGCCAGAGCGCAGAAAGCCGCTGCCTCACTGTGCTCAAGAGACATATTTGCCAGCAGCAGTGAGCCACTTAAGAGTAGAGTGGGACCACCATGGCATCAGGAACATTTGACACAGAGCGGCAGTCAACTCCCCGGGAGCCGGTTCGCGTCTGGAGCTGGCTTCTAACTGTGAAGGTTAATCGATAAGCCCAAGCTTATTGGTTAACTGTGTGCATGGTTACACTTTCACATTCCCTAATGAAGATGCCATGTATGCTGATGGGAGAGTTTCTCCCTTTAGCATAGGCACTCTACATCCCTGAGAAACAGTAAGGCTACGTCTAGATTGGCAAGTTTTTGTGCAAATACTCTTTAACGCAAGAGGTTTTGCGTTAGAGTATTTGAGTAACAGAGAGTCTACACTGGTATGTGTCTTTGCGCAAAAGATGTGCTTTTGCGCAAGAGCATCTGTGCCAGTGTAGACGCTCTCTTGTGCAAGAAAGCTCCAATGCCCATTTTAAACATCGGGCTTTCTTGTGCAAGAAATTGATGTTGCCTGTCTACACTGGCCTCTTGTGCAAGGACTGTTGCGCAAGAGGGCTTATCCCTGAGCGGGAGTGTCAGAGTATTTGCGCAAGAAGCACTGATTTTATACATTAGAACGTCAGTGTTCTTGTGCAAGTACTCGCGGCCAGTGTAGACAGGTGGCAAGATTTTGCGCAAAAGCAAAATCTTGCCAATGTAGACGTAGCCTAGGTATATTGTACATGGAATGTGAAAGTGTAACCAGCCACCCACCCTTCAACATAGTGCTTGTCAACACTGGGAGTTAGGGCGGTATAACTGTCACTCAGGCATATAGATTTTCCAAACCCTGAGCAATGCAGTTATACAACATAATTTTGTAATGTAGATTAAAGCTAGTACATTTTAAAAACACGCTCTCTTTCTCAGTGAAAACAAGGCCATAGGAGAAAGGAGAGTTACAAGAGAAACTGCTTGTTAGCATGCAAATATCAGCTTTTTAAAGTTCTGTAAATTGTGAGCTTTTAATTCTCCACTCCTGCTCACAGTTAGAAACACGAACCAAATGCATACTGTAAATAAACGTATACAAGAAAATAAGCGCGTAGGCTATGATTGCTCATTCTACTCCCAACAAAAAAGGTGCATCTTTTGGAGCATGAATGTTGCCTGACTGCATGGAAGTCATGATACTAAGGTGATTTGTCTATTTTAGTAGTTTTGTGTGCAATACTTCAATACTTATACAAGGTTTGTAAAAATAAACCTTAGTAATATGAAATCACAGCACAAAATCTATTAAATCTTTGAGATGTAGGGAAGGTACCTTTTTGTGCATATATGCAAATTTGCACGTAACTTGAAATGTAATTTAGCATATTTCTTTTAAAATATAATCAAGTTCTTTGAACTATTTTCATCTTGACAGTTCCTTGCACTTATATCAAGGCAAAGCAAATAAGCTTGTTGGGTGTTCATAATGTATTACAAGAAGTTTCACCTCAGTATAAAGCTGATAAAGAGTATTTCATATTTCTAATACCATAATTATTTGAGTTCAGAAGGGATCTTCCCACATTTCTAATAATTAGGATTTTAAAATTTGTTTTCTGGTGAAACTTAGTACTATTTCATTAATTTCCCCATGTTTTGGAGAACATTTTAGTTTGAAGATGGAAAGGAGGTGGAGAATAAGCAGCACAGGAGTTGTATTTAGTGGCTAGTCCAGTAAAATTCATTACCAACACTTTATTTTAAAAAAGGCTTTTTAATTTCATTTCAGTTCTGTAGTAGATGGATTTCTGCCATCATCTACCTCTGGTTCATCTACCACTTCCTGTAATTCATTCTCCAGCTCACTATCTTGAGATGATCCAATGTCACCATCCAAAGAATCTTCACTGTATTTGTCCAGTAAATATTTCTGTGGAGTGATATCATTATCAAAGGGATCACTTATTTTCTTCTTTTTCGTTTTCTTTTGCTTTTGTATCTCAACCAGCTGCATCCGCTGTTGCTCTGCCCACCCAATGCCTTCTGTGTCCTTCACCCTTTTCATAGTCTTGTACTCCATTATTTGCTTATTGAGCACTTCATGGTTGATCCCAAAAAGATTAGAGGAGATGGACAAAGCTGATGTGTCAGCAGATGATTCAGTCACTGAAGATGCTGATTCACTGCAGGGAAAACAGGATTTTTTAACAGGCACATGGTAAACTGTACTAAGAAACTTTAAGGCACAATGACCTATACTGAGCTTCTTTAACAGCAGATCACCTCATGAAATCAGGAGATCGGAAAATCCTTTTTAGACTCTCAGATTCCAAAGCCAGAAAGGACCATTGTGATAATGGAGTCCAGTGGATCTCAAATTTCATTGCATCATAATGCTCTTCTGACAACAAAAATTACTACACTAGCCCAGGTGCAGGAGCAAAGCCTGAGCATAGCCAAGCCCTGCAAAGCCAAAGGGTGGCAACCATGGGTGGGGGCCTGTAACTTGAGCCCCACCACTCTGGCTTCAGCCCCAAACCCCAACAAATTTAACTCCAGTCTTGCCAACCCCACTAAAACAGGATCCCAACCCATTATTTGAGAAATGCAAATATTTATTTAAAATCAGATATCCCTAACTGAAAATACTTGCTGCACAACTTCAATTAATAAACAAAATAAAAAAAACCCACCTAAAATTGTTTCCAGCCAAAGTCTCTTTTTCTCCCTCAGGTCCAAAATCCGCAACTGCCAATAACCTATCAATCTGTAAACAGTTGGGGAAAAAAAATCCACTATTAATACCCTTCTGATCACGTCCAAAAAGGAAATAAGCCAGTATGAGACACAGTGAACAGGTCTGTCTCCTTTACATATCAGTGTGGTTGCGTCCCCCTCTGTTTCTGGAAAGTATTTCAAATTGATCTGTAGTCTATATTATTATAAAAGGAGAGGAGCCTGTCATGCCATCTGTCAGAGAGAACATTTGAGAAGTTTCTAGGTGGAGGCAGGTCCTCAGCCCCACCCCCTTTGCTGAGGCCCCACCTTCATCAGGGGAGGGGAGAGGAAGGGAGGAGGAGGAGCAGTGCGCTAAGCACAGTGCATGCCCCCCTCACCACAGGGAGGGAAAGAACCCCAGCATCCCCGGAGCAGCAGGGAGGGAAGAGGATACATCACCCCAACCCCACTACGCTCCCCTAGGAGCAGCGGGGAGGGAGGCAGCCCCTCAGCCCAAGCCTCCCCGGCTTGAGGAACAGCAGGGAGGGAGGGGGCCATGTGTATGTCTACTGCCACAATGGGATGGGTAATGCTAGTTTCAATAAAAGTCATCCACTTAATTGACAAGATCTTTCAATAAATTCTATGAAATGTCCTGTAGGGAATAATTCTACATTAGGCTTAGAATGGAGTGGATCTTTTCATAGAGATAGTCTATGGAATTGCCAGAAGGTAGAAATCTTACTGGGACCTTTACATCAAATGAAATAATTAATTCATGGTCTACTATAACTTTCAAGGGTTTGGCATATACTGGATGTGGCCCCAAGAGAGAATTTCACTTTTGGTTAATTAAGAACTCATTTTAGATTTGGCTTCATTTCGTTTTTGCATGTCCTTCCCTTTACCAATGTACACGTATTTCAATTATTCTGCCACTCTCTTTCCCCATTTGGAAATTGTCTGTCCCAATCTTACATATAAGAATAGTAGTAGTTGTGTGGGGGGGTTGGGTTTTTTTTTTTTTTTTAAAGAGATCAGTCTGTCCAGTACTGTAAATCCTTAGCGCATTATAGGTTACCTTTAGTTGTAAAACTTACCAAATTTTGTAATATTCCTTTTCTGTAATTTTTCCTCTCTAATCAGTCTTTTACTCTTTTTGTATTTTCTTTTTATTAGAAGGTAAAAACAACAGTCTCTCTCTCCCCCTCTTTTATGATTTATAGTTTTCTTCACTGGTGGTTTGATATGTTTTTTTAGTTTATTTGAAGTATATAAAAATGGGCTTGAAAACTAGGTCCTGTAGCAGAGATTTAAAGGTCATTCTGGGTGTTCTGGTGATCACTGTTAGGTTGCTGAGAAAGCCTGGTGTTACTTCTGGAGAGATAAAGGAATTATATCTGAAGGCTAGGACAGACAACTAAATAACCCTAAACTGAACAATACTGTATCTACACTTTGCCGTATTACTACACTTAGTGGTGGCGGTCTAGAAAGTCACTGTCACAGTGGTGGCTTATCCTAATACAACACTTTCGGATTGGGCAACAAAATGGCAAATGAAATTTAATGTTGATAAATGTAAAGTAATGAACATTGGAAAACATAATCCCAACTATATATAAACAATATGATGGGGACTACAGGCAGTCCCCGGGTTACATGGATCCAACTTACATCGGATCACTACTTACAAACGGGGTGAGGCAACCCCGCACTAGCTGCTCCCCCCCAGCAGACCAGGGAGACGCGAAGCTAGCGCCCCCCCCCCCCCCACAGCACCCCAGCAGACCAGGGAGATGCGGAGCGGCTTTTCTCAGCAGACACCTCAGCTTGAGAATAAAGGCCTGAGGGAAGTGAGGTGTGGGAGAATAAAACTGAGCTCTGGAGAAATGTTTGGCTAGAGTTTCCCCTACAATATGTACCAGTTCCGACTTACATACAAATTCAACTTAAGAACAAACCTACAGTCCCTATCTTGTACGTAACCCGGGGACTGCCTGTAATTTGGCTACAACTACTCAAGAGAGAGATCTTGAATAAAGGCCTGAGGGAAGTGAGGTGTGGGAGAATAAAACTGAGCTCTGGAGAAATGTTTGGCTAGAGTTTCCCCTACAATATGTACCAGTTCCGACTTACATACAAATTCAACTTAAGAACAAACCTACAGTCCCTATCTTGTACGTAACCCGGGGACTGCCTGTAATTTGGCTACAACTACTCAAGAGAGAGATCTTTGAGTCATAGTGGATAGTTCTCTGAAAACATCCACTCAGTGTGCAGTGGCGGTGAAAAAAGCAAACAGAATGTTAGGAATCATTAAAAAAGGGATAGAGAAGAAAACAGAACATATCTTATTGCCTCTGAAAAAAACATGCTATGCTCCCATCCTGAATACTGCATACAGATTTGGTCGCCTCATCTCAAAAAAGATATTTTGGCATTGGAAAAGGTTCAGAAAATGGCAATAAAAATGATTAGGGGTTTGGAACCCATGCAGCCATGTCCACACTATTATTTATTGCATGTTAGCGCCAATTAAGCTAGCACAAGTCTGTCTATGTGGGCTGCTACAAAAAAAAAATCGCAGTTACAATGTAGACGCACCCTCCCCGCCCAGAGGAAAATCAGCCATTCACTTCATATTCCTATTGCACTGGCAAAAAATGAAACTCTGCCTCTTCCAGATTTCTAGTTGAGCAGTGGATGTTCCTGTGATGTGGATAATCATGATAATTATTTAACCTGATAAATATCAGTGTTATGTCTAACGGTCTGCCAATATAAGTCAAAGGACCCATGAATTAGCTCAATCTTTAATGTTGTTATTCTTGAATGTTAGTCATTCTTCACAAGATTCTAGAGTATCACTGTGCTCTCTAAGTCATGGGACTCTCACAATCCTAATAGTACGTCCACTCACACTCAATCATAATGAATTCCTAAGAGGATATTACTCCTCTAGAAGTACTTCTCCTGGTCTGCAAGCCTGCTGCTTCAACAGGCTGAACTTCTGTGGTTCGGGAATCTCTGACCTGCAACACCTGTGGTCCAGTAGGACCACAGATGTTGCTGGACCAGAGAGCTTCACTAGCAGAGATTGCCAATGGCTGGCAGGACAGCAGAACCAGCGGGGCTGCCGGAGCCTGCAGGGGTGGCAGGCAGCTAAGATGGCAGGGTTGCCTGAGCCAAGCGGGGCAGCAAAACTGGCAGGGCCACCGGGAGCGCAGTGGGAAGGCTGGCACTCCTTTACCTCTTCTGGTCCAGCAAACTCCCTTGTCCGGGATCAGTTAGGTCCCCAGGGTGCCGGACCAGGGAGGTGCAACCTATAGTTAGACATTATCCTCAATATACAATATCCGTGTTTCTATTGGATTCCAGGGATTTAAAAAAATATTAAACAATTGAACCAGCTGCAATGCAGTTAACCAGCTGGCCACCATTAACATTGCTCTGCTTCCTTTTTTGGCATAAAGTTACAGAAACAGTAGTTTCCTGTCTTTCATTTGAGATTATTTGATGTCTCACTCCTAGGTTAGTTTATCTATCTTCCGGAAACAGCTTTAGACACTGTTCTTCTCTTCAGAAGTTGTTGCAGATTAAGTCAGCAAAACTAATGAAAAAGTTAACTTTACTTTCTATTGCCCCCAAAGTATCAAAATAATTCAAGACCCTTATCAAAACATTGAAAAAGCTTGCTGTCAGACACAGGGAATTGTTCTTCGATTTAAATGGTTTTACAGACATAAGTGAGCAACAATGTGCCTACTTTAACATTACACCTATTAACTCTTCTGTGTTTTTTACATGTCTCTTCTGGAACACACTGCAACATGTGATGCTTGCATGCCAAGTCAGTGATTGTACTTTACCTCTTTTATAGCTGCAGCTTCTTTGTCTTTAACAAACACTATTGGAGGAACATTTCTCAGGACCTGATGGGTAATCAAATGATGCCTGGAAAAAATAAAATATCTTCAGATACGAACAACAATTACAGCATCTTTAGGGAAGACGCAATATTTGTTAAATAAAAATGCAAAGAAAAACACTGTGAAGCATGAGTATTGTTTGCAAAGCTTACGGGGTATCAGTTCAGATGACAAATTCTAGTATTTCAGAGGAGCATTCTGTTACATAAAAAACAGAATTTCTCAAGTCAAGCTGCAAATTAGATCGATTTTGTTGGATGAAGATGCAGACTATAGGAAAGCTAATGAAGCAAAGACTACCACGATGTTACTGAACAACTCAGTGAAGTGAATGCATGTGTGTCCATAAAGATGTGACATTATAGGGCAGCTGGAGTATTTTCTACTGCTCCCACATATACAGGATTTTCTGTACACCAAAAAGCTTACACAGTTTAACCTTTTTTAAACTTGAGAAAATGAATTCCTTTCCTTACAGCTAAAAAGTTTTCAGGAATATACAGAAAAAAACTCAGTGAAGAAAAGACGTGTAGAAGCTGTAGAAACCATTTTCATATTTAGCTAGAAGCCATCTTGTATGACAGAAACCATTTCAGCTTTTCTCTCAAGCACGTAGACCAGAGTGAACTTTCTGTCACCCCGTGAGAAGAGGCCTACAGGATAGGCTATTGGTGTGTGTTAATTGGGCTGGTTGGGACAGGAGATGTACTCCCTCGTACCTGTCCGCCATCTTGTTGATAAGGCTTTGTTTTTCCAAGTTTAATTAATGATTTCTGTAATTGGATGCCCTGACATCAGACTGTTTGGTTAAGGGGATAAAGATACTAGGATTGACTGTATTAGCAGCCTTACTGGGCCCGACTCTGCTGGGACCACGGTTGGCTCATGCTGTGCTTTATTAATTAATAAAGCTGTTTGTTAGCTGCCTAAACAGAGAGGAGCGATTTTTGCTTCAACAGACGGGTAAGCAGGTAGTTGCAGATCCTGGATTTTCTGTCTTGTGCTGTTCCAGGCTGCTACTACCTTTTACAAGCTAACGATTAGCAGGAGTGAAAATAATTTACATTTCTTATAGGTGCTGTCATATCACAACTCCCCCCCCCACTTCACCAGTAGGCGGGTGGCGGGAGGGTTGTGATAGGACAGTACCTGAAATAAATTTAAGTGTGAAATGGAGTGTGGGAGGTTCAGGGCAGGGGGTTGAGGTGTGTATGGAGGTTTGTATGGGGCTTAGGAAAAGGAGGGATGTGTGGGGTGCAGGAGTCAGGGCAGGGGATTGGGGATGTGGAGGGAGGGGTTAGCACAAGGTGCTGAGGGTTTGGGGGCTGCAGGAGTCAGAGTTGGGCAGGTGAGGAGGGGCTCAGAGCAGAGGGTTGAGGTACATGTGGAAAGGTGCAAGGGTCAGAGTTGGGCATGGAGGGGCTTAGGGCAGGGGGTGTGCAGGCATCGGGGGGGGGGGCCTCAGGGCAGAGGTGGCAGGTGTGTGTGTGGGTGCCATTTAAGTAAAGGCAGGGCATTTGAAGCCCCCTCCTTCAAGATTCACACCAAGACGCTGCTTGCTTTTCTTCCTCTTCCCCTCACAATCAGGGATCAAGAGGAAAGAGCACAGCTTGAGTGCCTCACTGCTCTGCCCCCTCCCCTCACCATCTAGCAGCGAGAGGAATGCATGCATACTGTGTGCTTTCCTCTCGCTCCGATAGTGATGGGATGCGGAAGAGCAAGCAGCATCCTGGTATGAATCTCAGGAGAGGGGACTTCAGTCCCTCCCACCATCCCTAAATGGAGCCTTTGTGGGGAAGCTAGGGGCAGGGGTCCGGCCTGGCCTGAGGGCAGTACCTTATAATTGGGGCACTTTTCTGTAAAATGTTTTCAATACGCTCATCTTCCAGTGCACTTTCAGCAGGGTTCCAATACACACGACATGCTGAGAAGTCTGGGGCCAGGGCTACCTGCAAAGTGCACAGATTTTTATAAATACAAGCTTCATGTAGTAAAGCATTCAGACTCGAGGAAAAAGCAATTATAAAGCGACCTAGTTATGGTATACAAACTTAGGTAGAGAAAGGGTTTTTGTAATATCTGGACAGCACTTAGTAAAAGGCAAGTGCTATCATAATACAAACAAGTCTAGAAAGGATATTTATTATTTCTAGATATAGTTGTTAGAAAGCAGGCACTCGCTGGGAAAAGGAAGAAGGAAAGTAAGCCAAACTTTGGTTCTTTTCAGCCTGCTGTTTCATAGCAGTGTTTTGGAAGAAATGAGATTCTTTCTCCATTATCATTCAGAAGAACCTGCACTGGTACAAAATATGTCAAACTGAATCCCAACTGTTAGTTAATACTATATGAATTTAGATAATCAATGCAGTAACAGTCTTTAACCATCTGGGTTAAATTCAGATGGTTGTCACTTCTACTACTGAAGGATAACAGACAGAAGAAAAACTTAAAGCAATGTACTTTTTCAGAATTTCATTCATATATTTAAAAGTTTCTGTCTGCTATAAATTTCCCCTTCATCCAAGCTAGCAGGCGTCTTAGAGAACATTACTCTGAGATAGCGGGTTCAGCAAAATTCTGCAGATGCAGCTTGAACAACATACGGGTCTCACAAAAAAAAAATGGTTGAGGAAAGAGAGAAGCATAAAGCTATTCATTAAGAGATGGAATTCAAAGGCTAAGCAGTACAGCTTATCTTAGAAACCAATTTTTCTACTAAGTAGCTATCTACAGACATTGGCTAAAAGAAAAAAAATCAATTTGGTAAGAATAAGTATTTTCCCAAAGACTAAAATTATCAGAGTAAAACATGATATAGGATAAGGTAACATTGCTAGTCTCTCCAGCAGCAGAACTGTTTTCCAAGGGACCGGCTAGGCCATTCCTTATCTCCTTATGCATGCCTGTACCACATACTGTACCATGTGTCCTCCCCTGTAGCCTTTCTCCCTTAAGGAGAGACTCGCTTCTCCAGAACATACACCCTTGATCACTTTGTTTCTTAAGCAGCAAATTGGACAGTCCCCAACCAGCAAATCAAGCCTAATCCAGCATATATTTATGCACATGAATAATTTTACTCATGTGAGTAGTCCCACTGACATCAATTTAAATAGGACTACTCTCATGAGCGAGTACAGAGTTCGCAGGGTTGAACCCTATGTAAGATTTTAAATTTAATGTACACTTAAAACATTTGGTAGGAAGAACAGAATTTTGCTGGACTCGAACTTCTTTACACAGTTCTGCTTATTTTTAAAAAGGAAGAAAACATAAGCTAGAAATGATCATATGAAATTATAAAAATATAGGCAGCTCTACTCTGCAGCATAACAACATTTCAGCTGTGTTACAGGGCAACAAAGCCCCTAAGCAACATGGTATAAAGATTCTATCCAAAATATATTAAAAGTTGTTTTCCTTGCTTTAAAAACCAAATTCAGTATTTAGAGGCATTTCTCCTGAAAATGTTAGTTCAGTTTCACCTACAAGGTGTAGAGATTATTGTTCAGAAGAGACAAGATCATGGAAAAACAACACGAGAGAGAGTTCTTTAAACACGCAGTTATCTTCTGAAATTGTGAAATACAGGAACATGGCATACTTTTTTTTGTATGGTTTCTTTTTAAGAACACTCCTTGTTGATCTTCTCTACTGGATTGCCAGTCAACTTCCTGCATTAGTGTGCTCCTCTCCAGCAGAGCTCTTTCTGAAACTAGACTCCAGTACCTTGATAATGTGGGGTCCAAGGACTTTTACTTTACAATCCATTGTAGGCTATTATATTTCTCTCACTGAGAAATGCTCTGTGGGTGGAAAGAGGTAACTTTAAATTTTTGGACACAAAGTAATCTATATTATTATAAAAGGAGAGGTGTCTGTCATGTTGTCTGCCACAGAGAACATTTGAGAAGACTTGAGAAGTTTCTAGGGCACGGGTGGGCAAAAGGGCCTTCATGGGCCAGATTTGGCCCACCAAGCAGGTTGATCCAGCCTGCGGAGGCTCTACTGCTCCCCCGCCCCCAAGCCAATTAGGGCTGGGGGCAGGGAAATGCATGAAGTTTCCTCCGCCCTGCCAGGAGCATGCGGCGCTTCAAAGCACCGCATGTTCCCAGCAGGGCGGCAGGAGGCTTTGAGTGCTCCCCCGCCCCCAGGCTCTGATTGGTCTGGAGGTGGAGGAGCCCCTTTGCCCCCCCTTCCCACTAAGCACCCATTCCCTTGGCGATGGGAAGGGACTTCCCGTGCTCCCCCACTCCTAGACCAATCATGATCTGGGGGTAGGGAAGCCCAAAGCATCTTAGCCCCGCCCCTTCCTTTTAAGGCCCCACCTATTCCAGTGCACCTCGGGGCCACTTCAAAAATTTTTGAAGTGGCCCCTGGCAAAAAATTATTGCCCACCCCTATTCTAGGGGGAGGCAGGCCAGTCCCCAACCCTAGCTACACCCTGCTGCCTCCGCTGAGGCCCCACTCCCACCACGGGGAGGGGAGGAGGAGGAGCAGAGTGCATGCACCCCCTTCACCACAGGATAGGGAAGAGTATGTGTGCTCCAGCATCCCGGGAGCAGCAGGGAGGGAAGAGGTCCCATGGCCCGAGCAAGCAGTGGGGAGGTAGGAGGCCATGTGTGTATGCCCCCCCTCACCACAGGTATGGGAAGAGCCCTTGTGCGCTCCAGCATTCATGGAGCAGCAGGGAGGGAAGAGGCCTGCAGGTTCTCCCTGCTGCTTCCATAGCAGTGGGGATGCAGAGCCACATGTGCCCCTGAGAACAGGGTGCCCAGTAAGTGCCTTACCCCAACTCCCTCACACTCAGACCCCACAGCACACCCATGGCTCAGCAAAATCTTTAATTCAGTGCACCCCGTTTTCCAGAGTTGCCAGATTAGAGGTTCAAGTGTACTTATGTGCCAAACATACTAAGCTTCCGGACTGCAACACACTTGTAGCTATATATTAATATTAAATAACACAAGTTTTTAATTGATTTAATATAAAAAAGCTTGCAAACATATTAGTCAAATTATATCAATACTGAAGTCTCTCCCCTACAATTGCTATCTGTGGGACAGCCCACAGTCTGCAATAAGAACACCATGGTCTCTTCCTTCATTACAAAACAACAGGGCAAGCATCTTCCAGCAAAGGGAAAACCCTTGCAATCAGGCTAGAAGGAATTACAATATACTTCCTCAAGACCACAGAGGACAATATCATTTCTGCAATGTGCACACATCTTTACAGGACTTGAAAAAAGTCAGTTCAAGATTCAAATCTCAATTCATCTTCAGGTACTAGGACGCATTTTCACACCAAACTTAAATGTAGTTCTCTTAAAAAAGTACACAACACACACAAACCTGAATTTTCCAGGATATGATGATATTTTACTGGTTAGACAATATAAAAAATGTATTTCTAGGCCAGGGTTGAGTGTTTTGGTCTTTGTGTAAATCTCTCAGGAAAAGGGAGAGATTAACCCCGGTCGTGAATTATGGAACAGTACTGATGAGGATGTATCCTCTTTTCCTAATTGGAAATCTGATGGCCAATACAGGACTATAAGAGTTGCAATGAAGAGTGGTAATAAACAGAGGATCCTCCAAATATGAATCCAAAGCAAATGTTAAGATTTTTCAGAGCTCACTTCTGCACACACCATCTTGCCCCACTCCCAGAGGAAGACAGAATAAGCATAAGACATGCTATAATATGTCAATATCAGTAATTCCTTATATATATATATAATTCTATCAGGAGAAAAACCGTTTTATGAGAACCCCTCTCTCAAATTTTGAAAAGTGTTAAAAGACGCATTAGCCCCCACAGAGATTCAGAAAACCACTTAGGAACACAGGAATCCCCCAACAAAGAAGATATAAGGAGGAATAACAGGTAGTTCGATTTAGGGCTTTAATTCGAAATACCGGGTCCCTGCCACGTGTAGACGCGGGCAGTTTGTCCGGACTTGTAAATTTCAAAAAATGGCGACCAGCCGGGAAGATGCAAATCAAGCGCGGGATATTTAAATCGCGGGCTTGATTTGCAACTTCGAATGCCTACATTAGCCTCTCTAGTTCGAACTAGGGGGCTAGTGTAGACATACCCTAAGAAACTTGTTACATGTAATTCCTTATCTTAACAGTAGTTTGAATAATCATCTCTCACAAAGTGGGATGCCTCCCTACTTGGGCCTGATCCTTCTTAATATTCAGTTCCAGGTGGTTGCAGTAGACATCTTAGATGTTAAAACAGGGGTGCCCTGATGTCTGACAGCAGTACCTGCTATCTGGTTCCCCACCTATAGAGTTTTTGCCCAAGGTGAGAATTCCTTGTATTCCAGTTTAAACTTTTTCATACTTCCAGTGAAAAAAAATACAGCTGTTACAAGTTCTCCCCTTGGGGTTATGTCCCCTACACCCAAAGTCATAACTGCTTCCACACACCGCTGGCCACAGCTCCATTCTAATCGGTCTCTACCCTCTTATGTCAATGTTCACCAATATATGTTTCCAAACTGGTCTGACGGTCAAAACGCCTGGTGGCCTCACCCTTGGCGCGTTTGCTTGGTTCGCCCCAGGGACGGGGAAAGGGGATTCGGGCCCTCCCTCTCTCCGAGCCCCAGCCCAGGGCCCTAAGGCGGGGACCATAGTCCCTGCTCAGTGGAGGGGGCTTTAGCCTCTAAACCCCTCCACTCATGGGTTCCACGGCCCTGCCCTGGGCCACTTCTTTCCCCGTCCTGTGTTTAGTTCTGGCCTGTTGGGTTGGGGCCAGGACTCACCACTGCCATCCCGTCCCATGTCTCCCCGCAAACCGCTCCGTGCTCTGGTCTCTACTCCTTCCTGTCTGCTGGTCTCTCTGCCTCTCCTTCCTTCCTCCCCCTCTTCCGCTTCCCCACGCCCTTTTAAATTCCCCGCCGTGGCATCCGGGGACGGCCCTCCCCCAGCGTCCCCACCCCCACCCTTCGGCGCCCCCAGCGTGACGTCACGGGCGACGTCATCTGCGGGCGGGCCGCGTTTCCTGCTTTGACACCTGCGCTCCCCCCAGCTGCTCCCTGACTAGGGCTTCCCAGCGCATTCCCGTCCCCACTGAACCCCGCCCCCCCGGGCTCCATGCCTCGGGGTTCGGGGTTGCTTCCAATGCAGGGCGGAGGCGCCCCGTCACAACAGCATCCATCAGATGACCTGGCCACAGGAAAAGCAAGACTATCCATAGATCATTGTCCCGAGTACCAGACCATTAAGCTCTTTGAGTACTACTAATGGCCCTCACTTAGCCCGTCTAGATTAGTAAAAAGCTTTATACTTCATATTTCTAACTTCAAATACAGGAATGATATATGCACACAAACAGAATATACACATTCAGCAAATTATAAATTAAAATATGTTACATGAGATTTTTGCATAAAGTATATTTGAGTTATGTCATATTCCTATTCATAAGAATATTTCCATAAAGAATATGTCACAGCAGTTATACCAACCAACTGCATTTTTGCCAGTATAAACTGTCCCACAGGGAGCCGTTTGCAGGCATAGTATATGCGCATAGCCATACTGGCAAGCATTCCTAATGTAAACACAGCCTAAGTCTCTGACCATGTGCTGTAATCCTGCCAGGCAAACTGCTGTTCCCTCACTGAGCATCATGGAAGACAGTGACATCTACATGGTGCAGCAATTTATCCGCTTAGATCAGAATGCAGGACTGGGGCCTAAAAGTTGTTTTTGAATACAGTAATTCCTCACTTAACATGTGCCCACTTAACACGTTCTCGCGATAGCACCATTTTTTTTTTAGGGAACATTTTTCAAACAACATGACCCCGTCCCTGCAATAACACGATTTCCCCTAGGTCTGGCCGGTGGCCAGCAGCTGTGCGAGGCTTCCCCTGCCTCCTTACAAAACAAGTGGAGGTTTGCCGCTCACCGTGCAGTTCCCCGGTGACCCCCTTTGGCCAGGAACTGCACTGCAAGCAGCAAACCAACCAACTTTGTAAGGAGGCAGAGGAAGCCCCAGGCAACTGCTGGTGACCGGCCAGCTGGGGAAACCCAACTGCCGGCCGCAAGCCTCCTCCCCTGTCCTTCCCTTCCCTTCTCCAGAGCCAAACACCTCCCCTCCGAGCCATAACCCAGTCCCCTTTCTCCCCCAACCTTACGTCCCGGTCCTAGCTGCTAACAAGTGCAGGCTGGAGCTGCGAGCGCACGTGCGCTTGAAACGCAATCCCCACCTTTTCCATTATTTTCAATGGGAAAATTGACCCCACATAACACATTTTCACTTAGCACGATCATTTCCTGAAATGTATCTACTGTGTTAAATGAGGAATTACTGTATTGTATTACCTTGTCGCACACCTTAATCAAAATGGCTTTGCATGAGCTATAGCTTTTGTACTTGCCTTGGTGAGTTCCAACCTGAGGTCATAAACCTCTTGACTGATTTCACAGGTGCTCATCAAGTCCATCACAGCTTTATACAGGAGGGAGTTTAAGACCCTTTTGCGTATTGTGTCTTCTTTCCTAGTTTTCTGCTGAGTAGTCTTTAGTATAGTGGCCAACCGGGATGATTTGTACACCTTTTAAAAACAAAAATATTAGCTAAGAAATAGTCTAGATAAATGTACAAAACTTTTTGTAATTCTACTACTTTTCAATTTTATCAGTAAATACGTGTGATCTTAAAAAGTATTCTATTCAAGATTTATTTTGCAGCTTCTTTAATGTAGCCATGTTCAGCAAATCTGTGTTCTAAAATGGAGTGAATATAATCAGAATTTTTTAAAGTTTGCTTTTCAAATTGCACTTTAGATAAAACCTAATAGGTTAGATTTTGCAGTATCCAGGAAAATAAGTGCATAACATGCTTTTTGTAGAATAATTTGAACATGAACTTTCCAGTGACTGAAAAACTTGTTAATGATTCTCCTCTATAGGCCACTGATTTTAATTTGGAGCCTATCAGTAGGAAATTAAAACAATTACAATCAGAAGGTTGCTAAAGAAGGATTATCATGGTTAACTTTCTTGTGGATAGTTATCCACAGCCTAGGGATGTGAACGACTAGTCGACTAGTTATTTCCACCTCCCGCACCCTCCCCCCCCGCCCTGCCCCTATCAGAAAGAGGCAGCAATGAGGGGGAGAGGAGGAAGTGCTTCAAAGTGGCAGCTCTACATGGAGCCCAGGGCCAGAGGGGAATCCTCAGCTGGCCCTGTGCTGCATGCAGTGTTTCAAAGCGGCTGCGCCGCATGGAGTCCGGGGTCAGCTTGAGTCCCCTGCTGGCCCCGTGCTCCCCGCAGTGCTTTGAAGTGTAGCAACAACGCTGGGGAGACTATTCGATTAGCTGATTAATCTAAATTTAACATCCCTTACCACAGCCCAAGAGTCTAGATGGAAAACTTATGCTTGTTTGTAAGGGAGACTGGGTAGGGGAGGTCAGGACCATCCCTAGGGAGGTACAGGGCCTGTGTCAGCCCTCTCCTCTGCCCCAGGTCTGATCCTGCTGCTTCCCTGCTCCACCTCTTCTCCCAAGCCCGTGCCCCTGCTCTGCCCCACATCTTCCTGGCCCTGCTCTGCCCTGCTCCCATCCCAACCTTCACCCAAAGTCTTCCCCAAGTGACACCGCCTGGGAGATTAGTAGAGGGCCTGGCACTGGCAGCAGGGGCAGGCCCAGCCTCACCGGCAGCAGGGCAAAGCAAAGCAACTGACCCTAGTCCGCTCTACTCTGCTAGCTACCTGCCATGTTGCTCCGCTTTCCATCACCCCGGTTGAGTGCGGGGTGGAAGCGCAGGTTGGGTCCATCCCTCCCTCAAGCCCTCTCACCGGAGTACAACATGGCTGGGTGCCAGGGGAGTAAAGTGGGCTGGGGCCAAGTCACTCCTCTTCCTGCCAACACCTGTGATTTCTGGGATGGGCCCAACCTTGCTGCCAGGCTCCCCGATAAACCTTCAGGCTGCCTGGAGCCCCCAAAACCCAGACCCATGGCAGTTGCCCAGAACCGTCCTATGGAAAGAATGGCTGTGCATGAAGTAATATCTTTTCTTGGAGCTACTTTTATTGGTGAAAGCTTTTGAACTACAGAGTACTTTCTTCCCCAGACCTGAAGATGAAGGGAATGTCTGAGCTATGTTTATAAGCCTATGTGCTGAAAACCAGCACCACAGTTCTAGTAAACTCTTCACATGCTTAACTCAATGCAATTTGAAAAGTCCCCATTGATTTAGTAACACTGTTCATACACCTCTGCAAGACTGCCGCTTAGAATTGAATATGTATAAAGATTAGGGATGTAAAAAGTTGTTTAAAAAGGTAACTATGCAATCACTAAACATCTTAGTGGCTAAGCTGCAGCAAAACCTCTCCAGGAAGCCACAGCACATAACCTGCAGCGACGTGGCCGGGTCAGGCCGACTCCGCCACAGATAGGGACTGTTTCAGCCAATCAGCCGGAGCAGCACCTGCCTGCAGTGGGCCCCATGGGGCTGAAGGAGCGCCCCTGCCCAGGGCAGGCAGCAGCTGCTCCAGTCCCTACCCATTATCCAGAACCGGTAAGTCTCACCCTTTAAGCGTGAGGCTTACCGGTTAACCTTTTACATCCCTAATAGAGATCAGGCATGAAAGAATGGCCAGGATAGCGCCACCTTAGACAGAACAGGAGGTCACATACAACCATTTTTTAAATAATAACTGCAAGGCTAAAATGTGAGCTTTTCCAGTGAGCCTCAGACAAGAAAATTCTAGAAACTTTGTGAAAATTGTAACCAGTTGGACATGACCCTCCCCCCACCTCTGGCGTCTAACTGGGCATACTCCTCTGCTTTCCCCTTGTTAACCCATAATATTTACATTAGGGCCGTCCGTTTAGTATGTCACGTAATTCAATTTATGGTAGGTTTCTGGTTACTTACCTAGAAACCATATTGCTTATATGAATATGGATGTAACCTGTGGAATGTGTGCGAGGTGTGAGTGAGAAATACCCAGCCAGAACGGCAGTTTAGGATCCGTGACCTTTTAAGGTAGACAAAGACCCTGCAAGCAGATAAATTAACTGAGAAGAGGCCAGAAAATCCCTCTCTCGGACAAAATGTAATATCACAGCAGAAACCTGGGACAGGCCCAGAGAAAGTAAAGCCTCCTACAGATTCAAAGGGATCTCCCAAGGAACATCATGGTCAAGTTTCCGGGAAACTGATGCCTGGCCAGCACGCCAGCCACCAACGAAATCAAAAGTAATCTACATTGCACTTGCAGCCTGCCTCCAAACTGCCAGCATGTGTGTGCATCCTTATTCTTAAGAATTTGTACCAATAACCAACCCCAAAAGAAATACCGCTCCAGCTTACTCTTTGTCCAGGTTTATTCCTCAGCAGGTCTGAAGAAGTGCAACAAAAATGCTTGTAGCTTCTGTGACTAGCATTACAAAACAAAAAACCTACACCCCACAAAACAAACAAGATGATAAACACCAAAAACTTGAAACTAACAAAATGTGTGTGAAGCTTAAATCAAACCAATATTTTCTGCAGCAATCTTTCTTCTACTCTCTTATAACATGCCTGATTTAGGTCTCAGTTTCTGTTGTCAGAGCTTCAATTTAATGGCATTATGTGTGTAAAAATACTGATGTGCATAAGTGTTTCCAGGATTAGAACCTAAAACTAAACTCCTTAGGACAGATATTTGTCTTCCTAGGTTTGTAGAAGACTGGGCACATTTACAGCATTGTAACAGAACAATACTGCTCTATCTATTCCATAGATAAAGAGATTGCTAGTCTTTATTTCTAAAATTCTGATGTTTCTTGGTAGTAAATAAATGCATTTTAAAAGTTGCATATGCTTATAAAAGCATACATTTGCCCCACTTGACACAAAGATGGCACTTCTTTAAACTCTCAAAATTTGCACTTACCAGATGAGACCCCAATGTAGGGCTGTCATACCAAAACTTCTTTCTTTTCAAAAGAGAAAAAAAATTAGACATACATGTATACTTAAGTGCCATTCTCCTCTGGAGAAATAGCTTCATAAATAAAATGACCCACTAAACTGAACGCTGTTAAAATTGAACGTCGACCATGGTACTCCTTGTCATGAGGAGTAAGGGAAGTGACTTCCAGCTGTGGGAACGGCAGCAAAGTTTGGCTTAAAGTATGTCAACTCCAGCTATGTTATTTATGTAGCCAGAATTGTGTAACTTACGCTGACCTCTCCCTGTACTATAGACCTGGCCGAAGAAACTGAAAGAACCTAACACAGGGGTTCTCAAAACAATTTTGTTGGTGACCTCAGACTGCAGCCATCATCAACTCTTGCTGGTGGCCACTCTGACCATTTTTCTTAAAATATCTGGTTAACTTTAGGAAAAGGAAATAAATGTACAGGTCCAAATCGTAATTTATCTATGTAGGTTTTTTTTTGTAGACTCAGTAATAAAAATGACTACAGTTGTCTCTATTTCCTTTTTGAACCCAACAGAATAGAAACACAAAGCGCTTTGCATAGTCTTGTCCTTTTTGTTGTTTCTTGCTTTGGTTGAGTTTTCTTTTTAGACTTATTAGCTACTAAGTCTGCATCTGTGAAAAGTGATATTTGCATGTTTGTTAATATTACTTTTCTCAGCAACAGACATGTTAGTTAGCAGGGAGGTAGTGAAAAGTTATATTAATAAACATACAAATATTACTTAACCCTGGCAAGCCAGGAGAGAGGAGGAGTGGGGAGAATTAAGCCTTGGATGGAGAGGTAAGTAGGGCAGCAGTGAGGGATGAGCCAGATGAGGGAGAGGCCAGGAATGATGGTGGTGGTGAGCTCAGGACCAGCACCAGAGTCCAAAGCCCTGTGCCTTGGGGACAACTACCATCTCTGAGCAGTGGAAGCCTGGAGCCCCACAGTTGAAGCCTGCCACACCAGGGTTAAAGCCAGAGGCCTGGACCTCACTGCTCCTGGAGAAAGTGGGTCACTCATACTAGTGGGCTCCAGAGTGGTAAGGCCCAATCCATGTTGGTGGCTCTGGGGAAGCAGATTCGTCTTTGCCTCCCTTCCAAATCATAGCTCAAGAGATTGTGGCCACCCAAAAAAAAAAGGCCTTTCTGGCCACGTGGCCACATTTGAGAAATGTTGAGTCCTAACGTGTCTTTACAAATAAATTTAATCAGGGACCGCAACTATTAAAATGCCTTACTGTGGTTATTGCAGGATCATTAGATTTAAGGTGATTAGACTTACCTCCACGGGTGTGTCTACACTGCGCAAAAACTTGCCAGCTGTCTACACTGGCCGCTTGAATTTGTGCAAGAGCACTGACTTTGTAATGTGCAAAAGCACGTCTATACAGGGCATGGATGCTTTTGCGCAAAAGCACTTTTTCTGCAAAAGCATCCGTGCCAATCTAGACGCTCTTTTGCGGAAATACTTTTAACAGAAAAACTTTTCCGTTAAAAGTATTTGCGCGAACTCATGCCAGTCTAGACGCAGCCCATGTGTACTACCATTCATATGGCTTTGGGATAATTACAAAACACAGGGCTGTCCATAGCAATGCTGGTGCCCTACGCAGACCAGCACCTGCACTGCTCCCCATGGGAGTGGGGTCACTCTGCAGAGGAAGGGGTTACTGAGGCAGAAACTGTAAGGCACAGGATCACTACAGGGCAGGGATGCTCACCTGCAGTCTCAGGAGCAGGTGGCAGGTATAGGCAATAAGAAGAGGCATATGCCGACAGGCCTGAGGATTCAGGCAAAGCAACAGGTGACTGGAGAGATGCAGCAGTTGCCCCTTGCACCACAAAAGGGGGAAATGCCACTTCTCTCCAGCCAGCGGCTCCTCCTGAGCCCTCGGGTCCACAGGCTCACACCACTGGCCACCACTGCAATTTGGTGCTCCAGATTTCACTGTGACCCACACAGCTAAGTAGTTAGTGTATCAGTAGGAATAGCCCTGACAAAACATCTATAATGCACGTGCCCTAAATTACCACGTCCCTCAACCTTAACCCCACGTTAGTATAATTTGTGTCCGCAAATCCTTTTAGTTTAGGAGTTTAGCAGTCAGCACACGCTGTAGATTAAGTCACTCGGACTGCAAAAAAACATAGGGGTAGGACGCAGCACTGGCTTCTCTCCTGAAGTTTTGAAAGGCACCTCCCTGGGGCAGTGGGCGCAAAGCAGGAGAAGCCGCACCGCAAAACGGCTTAAGTGTAAACAACAAGAAAGCAGGGGGAGGGAATTCAGGACACGGTTTAATATTAACCGAGAAGGGGTCACAGGAGACTTTTGAGGTGGGACCACTAGACGGCCTCGTGAGGTCCCTTCCCAAGTGTCCCTGCACGCCGCGGGACGGGGGCGCTGAGGCAAAGGCAGGCGCAGCTCCGGGGGAAAGGGGATCCCGCGGGCAGCCCGGGCACTTACTTGGTTTTGGAAGCGAATTTTTTGAGCAGGTTCTTGGAGCCGCAGAGCCCGGCGGACCCGTGCAGAGCCCGAAATCCGCCCGCCAGCAAAGCGCCCGCGCCGGCCTCCGCCCCGCCACCGCTCGCTGGGTTCCGCCGCTGGGCCCCGCCGGGTGCGAGCGCTCGCAGCTGGCGCCATAGGGGCCCCCCGCCTGCCCCCCACATGCTGCAGCGAGCGCGCCGCGCCCCGCCCGGGGAAGCAGCCGCAGGTTTCCCGCGCCGCGCCTGGGACACTGCAGCCGGGCGGGGAGCTACGGCCTGCCCGGCCTGAAACACTGTAAAGGAGGCGCTAGGCCAGCCGCTGGCGGAGACGCAGCTGCGCCCGCCCAAGCGGGAGGAGGAGCCGCTGCTCCCCTCGCAGTTGCTCTCAGCTCCAGCCGGGTCCCAAGTTCCTCCCAGCAGGCCTGGCCTCTGCCCTCCACCCCTCAGAAAGGAGCCTTGGGCCTGGCGCTCTCAGCCCAGGCTCCACTTTAGCCCAGTCTCCTGAGCTCAAAACGAAATATAGCCCTGGAGAGACCTAGCCTGCTGAGCACTGGGGCAGTGTGAACCTAGATCTCCCCCCCTCCCCCAGAGCTGGCTGCATTCCTGTTGAACTAATTAGATTTAGAAAGTGCAGGATCAATCTGTCACTTTTCTTATACACATGCATAGGCATAAAGGGGAACATGGCCATAAAATGCCCCTTATTCCTTAGTGCAGATACTCTGAGTCAAGGGAAGTAGGCACTGTGGGTCTGTTTATCCATCAGCATAGCAGTCAGGGAGTGAGCCTTGCACAGGTATAGCATTTGTATTCATAGCCACAAAAGAGAGCTGTGGATATCCAGGGATTTGCAGTGCCCTACAGCTTGATGGGGAGAAGGTATGTGAAATATGGAAAGCCTTTCCTGCATAGGGGTGCCAGAAGGTTTCAACAAAAATACCAGACACACTTGACATTACCTCACAATCTACTTTACATCTTATTTAGAAAATACCAGACATTTATATTTTCTCAATTTGTTTCCTGAGCAGAAAGCTCAAATATTGGACTGTCTGGTTCAAAACCGGAAACCTGGCAATCCCATTCCCACACTTCCTTCCACGCATCAAACAGCAGAGCTCAACCACTGCAGAAAGGAAACTGTTGTTGTAGCAAGGGAGAAACTGAACTACTCCTCAGGTGGCACATCATAAGTGCCGTCCCTTATTAGAACCTATGAGGAACATTCAGTCTGGCCGTTTATTATATAGTCTACATTTTGCTTTGGAATGTAGTTAATCAGAAAAAAGGCTCTAGAATAGTGTCATTTTATTGATCTTTTCATTTCTCTGTTGGAGCACAGTGCTGCAGAACAACTTTAAGGATGCAATCAAAATAAAGCACAACAAAAGTAGATCAGCCTGTTCCTTCATTTTTGCTCATTCAAACACTAATTTTTGAGGCAGAATTTGTTGATTAATTAAAAATAAATGTAAACTTAACCTGTTACTTATACATTGTGTCTTGACTCTAATGAAATAATTAGAGTAAATATGCGTCAAGTTACAATTTATTTTTATCATCAGGAGCATTAAGCTTTGCCAAATGCAAGTCAATTTAGGGAATAACTTCATTAGGGACGGGGAGACCATTAAGAGCAGCCAGTATGTTTTCAACTGCATTCTTCATCATGCGGCGACGAGTATGGGTAGTAGCACTTCCAAGGTGACATGATATAATAATGTTTTTTAATGTTAACAAAGGATGGTGCCTAGGGAGAAGAAAAAAATGGAGATGTAGTTCAGAGTTACTTTATTTATTCTTTTTATTATAAAAGATATGAGGGGAAAACAAACAAGAGTGTTAATATGATTTGAAATAATCGCTTGATTCCAGCATATTCAGAATGGAATTCAAGTAATTGCATACAGTTTGTATCAGCAAAACTCCCAAAGAAGTCAGTGTGAGTTGTATTTGTCTAAGGACTGCATGATTGAGCACTTAAGGCCTCAGTCTCAGATTACTATGGAAATATATACAGATATAAAACATGATGCAATTATCCTTATTCATATAATCACATGCATACAGTTATTTTAAATATGTAATCACGCAATTTAATTTTCAATTGTTTTTTTTTTTTTTACCTTGGCAGAGGTTCAGGGTAGGTCACATCCAAAGCAGCAGCCTTAATAACTCCATTTTGAAGTGCTTCCACCAATGCATCCTGATCAACTACTAGACCTTGGGTCAGAACAAAAATATTCTTATTGCCATCTCCACTAACTCAAGAAAAAAATGCCTCTGCAATAATTTTAAGATGAAAATGGATTTCCAACTCTTTAATCATGAGTGTGAAGTCTTACATTTAACCAGAAATGTATAACTAAGGGTTTTATTATAAAATACTGCTGATCTGGATTTTTAAAATGTCCTCCATATAGAAGCCATATCCTAAGTTTTGCCTGTCTGGCACCAGAATGCTGGGAAATCAACATGGACTATCTGCAGTGGGGTTTTTAATACTGCCTACCCTTGTTGTGAAGGGGCAGGGGAAGGGACTACATTTTCCTTTTTGCATAAAGGCAACAAGAGAGTTTAATTTGCTACTGTAACCTATCACCCTAAACTAATGGGAGACAATCTCCTGCAATTGACCCTGATTCAAGAGAGCATTTGAGTATCTGCAAAATTTTAGATACTTGAATCAATCCAATACTTATTTAGAAAAGCTTTTAAACAACATGTACAGTACTTAATTTTAAGCATGGGAGCAGCCTCTAAAGTTTAATAGGCTTCCTCACATTTTAAACTTATGCATACACGTAAGTGTTTTGCTGAATCAGGTGCACAAACTTTTAGATTCTTGACCATCCTGCAATCAAAGTTCCCATGAAAATTCCAATGTAGGCACTAGTATCAGAAGTTGATTTTTTCTAGAGACTCTTCCACCTAAGGTAAATTGCATTGCGGTTTGTAATCAGTTATTCTGCACCCTACCTCTGCTGATGTTAATGAGGGTAGCAGTGGGTTTCATCATTTCTAACTCCTTCTTCCCAATCAGTTTTTCTGTCTGAGGCATCAGGTTCACACACAGCATCACAAAATCTGACTGCAGGAGCAAGTCGTCTATCTTTTTACAATAAATGGCACCAACAGCCTTCTCCTCTTCCTCCTTTCTGAAAGAAAACAAAATTCAACTGCATTTGTAAGTAGAAAATATTAGAGGAGGTTCAAATTCCTATTACAGAAATGGATTTCACCCTCTCACTCCCCGGCTGCCACATCCTGAGATTTGGTTGGTTAGTTACTTGTTCACAATTCAGTGCATGTGGCCATGCAGGAGGCCTGTATTTGAAGGGCATCTGCTTTCCAGGAGGAAGCATCAGAAACACTGTGCAGATACGATTAATACTGCATCCGCTGCCGATTGGAAAGTCAAGTGTCTTCCTATTTATCATAGAATCATAGAACTGAGAGACCTCAGAAGAAGGTCATCAAGTCCAGCCCCCTGCTCTAGGCAGGACCAATTCCAACTAAATCAACCCAGCCATGGCTTTGTCAAACACTTCTTGGGATGGAGACTCCACTACTTCCCTAGGTAATACATTCCAGTGCTTCACCACCCTCCTAGTGAAATAGTTTTTCCTAACATCCAACCTGGACCTCTCCCATCACAACTTGAGACCATTCCTCCTTGTTCTGCCATCTGTCACTACTGAGAACAGCCTCTCTCCATCCTCTTTGGAACCTCCCTTCAGGAATCAATCATAGAATAATAGGACTGGAAGGGACCTCGAGAGGTCATCGAGTCCAGCCCCCCGCCCTCAAGGCAGGATCAAGCTCCGTCTACACCATCCCTGACAGATGTCTATCTAACCTGTTCTTAAATATCTCCAGAGATATCTGCTATCAAATCTCCCCTCACTCTTCGCTTCTGCAGACTAAACAGACCCAAGTCCCTCAGCCTCTCCTCATGTGTCATATGGTCTAGCTCCCTATTCATTTTGGTTGCCCTCTGCTGGACCCTCTCCAATGCGTCCACATCCTTTTTGTAGTGGGGGGCCCAGAACTGGACACAATACTCCAGATGTGGCCTCACCAGAGCCGAATAAAGGGGAATAATGACATCTGTCAGATCCGCAGTTACGAACGGGGCTTTTCTCGCCCCGGAGGACAGGAGCGGCGGGACGCCCAGATGCGCCGCGGTCTGCCGCCCCTGTCCTCCAGGGCGAGAAAAGCTGCTCCCCGTCTCCCTGGTCTGCAGGGAGACAGGGAGCAAAGCCTTGGAGCACGCCCACAGCGGGACAGCCCGGGCACGCTTGAGCTGTCCCCTTGCGGGCGTGCTCCGCGGCTTTGCTCCCCGTCTCCCGACCAGCAGACCAGGGAGATGGGGAGCAAAGCCTCGGAGCACGCCAGCAGTGGGACAGCCGCGGCGCGCCTGGACTGTCCCGCTGACCGCGTGCTCCGCG